GGGGGGGGGGGGGGGGGGGGGGGGGGGGGGGGGGGAGTCCTGACCCTCCTTCGATTTCTGAAAAAAATCACACCAATGGTTCCCTCTTGAAATTAGAATTTTAACTAGCTGAATTATAGTTCTAGATCGTACCAAATGGCACCGTTCGCACTCTAAAATACCAAAATTATTCGTGGCCCGGGTGAAACTTTGATACAACCTTCTTTATGTGGGACCCTAAAATAATCAAACATAGTTTGCAATCTGTGTACTAAATATTTTAAAGAGCACGTCTGTGAACTCATTTGCACCTCTATATATTGGGTGTGGGCGTTTCTTGGCTTTCATTTGGAAGATTTTTACTCTAGTTTCTTCTGTGTCGGCCTACATTGTACCATTAGCCTTTACTAGTCTACATAAGTCGCATGAGCAAAAATCTTAAGCTGTGGTATAAGCTCCAACAGATCTGGCGAATAGTTAAATTAAATATCTAAGAAAAGCATATACCATTGGTTATGAGACATGCACGTGAAAGGGATGGTTTCCTCGCTTCGTTCGGCAATTATACCCTGGAAAATATTAGACGTGGAAAATTTTACTGTAATATGCAAGGCACAGGGATGGATGGATTGATTGGTGTTGTCTCATTTGTTTTTATTATACCTTTTTTGTAGGGGGGAAGGGGAGGGAGTTCCTAGGCTAACAGGGGTAGTGGTGGGGAGCACGTGACCAACTGTGTGCCCCACCCTGTACCCACTATTGCATATCTTCCTTAAGGGGGAAGGGGGAAATGAATACAATCGTGAAAATAATGCAATAGTTTTTTTCATTACAGAAATTAAATATACTTCCTAAAAGTCCAATTAAATGTTGAGCTTAAGCGCAGTTTCCAAAGTTGACCCTATATCTTCATTTATTTTTGGTTTCGGTTTTGGAATTCTCTGTAGCACCAAGACAGTTATCAAGATAACTAAACGAAGAATGAAGCTGGATGAAAGCACTACAGAACAGGCCTGTAGCCAGCAATTTCAAAAGGGGGGTTCTTTTTATGAAAAAGTGGACCTTTTTCCATAAATACTTCATGTACCTAGATCAAATTTTACCCAGAGTGGACCTTTTCCCAGCAAAAGGGGCGGTTCTTTCGAACCCCCCCCCCCCCCC